ATCCCATAGCAACCTCTGTATAAATACCACCTGCCTATAGTGACTACTTTTAGGCAGTCCCAAGGCACAAAATATGAGCAACTTGTGTATAAAGACCACCTGCCTATAGTGACACTTTCAGGCAATCCCATAGCAACCTGTATATAAAAACCACCTGCTTATAGTGACCACTTTTAGGCAATCCCATAGCAACCTATATATAAAAACCACCTGCTTATAGTGACTACTTTTAGGCAGTCCCAAGGCACAAAATATGAGCAACTTGTGTATAAAGACCACCTGCCTATAGTGACACTTTCAGGCAATCCCATAGCAACCTGTATATAAAAACCACCTGCTTATAGTGACTACTTTTAGGCAATCCCATAGCAACCTGTATATAAAAACCACCTGCCTATAGTGACACTTTCAGGCAATCCCATAGCAACCTGTATATAAAAACCACCTGCTTATAGTGACTACTTTTAGACAATCCCATAGCAACCTATATATAAAAACCACCTGCTTATAGTGACTACTATTAGGCAGTCCCAAGGCACAAAATATGAGCAACTTGTGTATAAAGACCACCTGCTTATAGTGACACTTTCAGGCAATCCCATAGCAACCTGTATATAAAAACCATCTGCCTATAGTGACACTTTCAGGCAATCCCATAGCAACCTATATATAAAAACCACCTGCTTATAGTGACTACTTTTAGGCAGTCCCAAGGCATAAATATGAGCAACTTGTGTATAAAAACCACCTGTATGTGTTCAGGGTGAATATCAGACAATATTTGTGCAGGAATGTCTTTGCTAGAGAATTATATATTAATATAAAAATGCTTTTGTTGCAATAATACTATTTTACCATACACAGTACCTTAAATGAGTTTATGACATATAATGATCACCTGTCTTTAAATACCAATTTTAATAAAGTGGTTGCTATACACAGATTTGATTGTACAAACTCTAACCATTGACTGCTTACTCTTTTATATCTTCCAGAGGTCTATTTGCAGCTGATTATGAGAATCAAGACGACAGACACCCAGATCATAACTTATTTATGTTGAACCAACAACACGATATGCTGAATGGCTGGAAAATTCCCGATTTTCATGGGTCTAATTTCTTCAAACACGACTCTGATAAGCTATGGTTGCAGGACATGTTTGCCGGAAAAAAAAATTTCTCGAAACAGTGCACTACAGAAGTACAGAATATCACATTCCTGAAAATTCATAAAACTGGTAGCTCTACTATACAAAACATACTGATGCGATTCGGCAGTCGCAATAACTTGAAGTTTGTACTACCACCACGTGGACATCACCTTGGGTATCCAAATTATTTTCAGAAGGCATACATGGTTGAATCAAGTGACGGTCTCTATAACATTTTCTGTCACCATGCACGGTTCAATAACGAGGTCATCACGAACCTGATGCCAGGTAATACAATTTATATGACGATACTTCGGGATCCTGCATCAGTATTTGAAAGTGCATTCACCTATTTCTTAATGGGCAAAAAATGTAATTATAACTTACCTGATCGACAAGCGCTGGAAATGTTTTTGAATAACCCGATGGCTTGTTACAGTCAGTTGAAACATGCGACACATGCACGTAACCCGCTGTTTTATGATTTTGGCTTGGAGACAAAAAATTTTGAAGATTCAAATACGGTTGACTTATCTATTGAAATAATTGATCGCAAGTTCCCATTAGTTATGATTGCGGAATATTTTGAGGAATCCGTCATTTTACTGAAAGATCTGCTCTGTTGGACGTGGGAAGATATGACTTACTTTAAACTGAACTCACGAAATGAAGAGTCGATAAACCAAATAACAGATGACATGAGAAAAAAAATATATGACTGGAATAAAGCAGATAAGAGACTCTACGACTATTTTAATTGGACCTTTTGGCGAAAAATTGACGAGTATGGCCATGAGAGGATGCACGATGATGTGCTGAGATTACGAGAATTGAATGAAAAATGGAAGAGTGTATGCCTACAGTCGGATCAAGTCACTAAGAAAGGACAAGGCAATTTTAAGATTTTTCAACCCCCGGGGGTGAAGATTAACAACTTTCTACTTAAACCTGAAGCGGAGAGAAACAGTGTGTGTCAAAATATGGTGATGCCCGAACCACAGTTCACAGAGAAGCTTCGTATCAAGCAGTTTCCGAATTTGGCTCATAAGATACGTCCAAACAAACAGCACATTTATCCTCAGAATAAACCAAAATTTTAACCTTTTCTGTAATTAACATTACAGCTATTTTTTTTTTTAACCTTTATTGTAAATTTATCTACTGTCAACAGAATTTGTTTCATTGAATTACCTTGGATATGCGTAACTACCATATTTGCTTCATCAGAAATGCATTTTTAATTGCATGCTGGATTATTAAAATATTACTTAATTTGAACATAGACTATTTGTCATTTACCTAGAGGCATGCACTACTACAAGCAAATACGGTATCTTTGTGAATTCTTTGTGTAAGGTTATAAATTTCACAGCAGTCGTTAATTGATTGTCCTTATCGTGACATATGTGCGACAGATACAATGTATTTTGCACACATTTTCTATATGTTGTATGGGACCCATATCGAACATGCATGTGACTTGTGAAATGTATTCATATTGTTGCATGATTTGTTCACTTTTCCCACCAATAAGGAACATACAAATTAAATATGTATCGTGTAATTGTGATAAAACATACGGTAATAACCAGAGGGTTCTTCAGCGGGGAACATTGGTGCAGCACCCTCATATCTTGGGCTTGTGTTTTTTTTAGTTTAAATAAAATAACAAATTTCGCAAAATGGAGGTGTTAGCGCGAAATCACCTCGACTGGTTTAATCTGCAGAAATATTATTATTGCTATTAAATATTCAAGAGGTGGGCGCGGAAATATGTGTATAATGAGATCAACATGGTAAAGGTCACATTGCAGACCCAACATGTTGAAATTCGAGTTTGTCGTAGTCGTCGTAAATAGACTTTAAAAAAAAACTTGTAAAAAAAAACGGCTGCTACAATCAGCCGACGTCTTCTCGGTCAGAGGTCAGTTGAAGAGACATTGTGATTGGCTTAGAATATTGTTAATTAGAACACTCATTAATATAAATACCTGTTGAAAAATCGACTGGTTCCTGCAGTGTCGATAGAGGGCCATGCAGAATAAGCCAGTCAGTTTGTTTACAAACAAGGGTCTACTCACGAGTCTTTGCATTTTTAGCGTGTGTTATCGTCGCTTGGGACTCAATTCCCACACGTGTGCAGGTGAAGACTCTCTCGCTTTAAGTTATGGTTCAAAGTGAAAAAACTATCAAAGAATGTACAGGAAAAAACAATTTTGTCCATGTATAGTCTCTAAAAGTTACTTAATTTTGTTTTTCACTCGTAACAATTTTGAGATAATAAAATGTCAGCCCTGCGGTACACTTCATTCGGTATCAAAACCTACCTTTAATTGTTAGTTTACTTTGTTTTTTTAATCACACCAACATTGTACCTCAATTTGTGTGATGACCTTCACATTTTTATTCCACTGTCATGTAATAAATATCACTGTTCTAAAAATAAATATAATGACATCATTTTTAACTTCGAGTGCAGTGCATCTTTAAACCACTGTTCCTGTAAATAGCGCCCTCTAGTGGTGGAATATTTTCTGTTACTCTAAAATATTTTAGCTGGAATTTTAGCTATTTTTCGAATGTGAAATATGGGAAAAAATTCTTCCTTCAGCAAAGATAAATTCCAGTAGTTTTAAAGCCAAATGTTCAACCTAACAACCTAAAGTCACATGATGGTGAAACTGCTACATATTCCGAGTTTCAGCAACATGCAGATACCTGACTGCAGTTAGACAATTACTCCTTACTTTAATGTATTTTTGCCTACCTTTTAATAAAAAAAATAAATTTGTAGCCATGCAATCTTATAGTTCCAATCGTGCTGAAACCGTCTGCAAATGAGTTTTAATCAAAATTGCCAAAATTTGATGAATCCATAGCATTTGTCTTAATTGAGATTTATAGATCGTGGTACAGTACACATAAAATGGAAACGTGTGCAGGCAATAAATAAATACTGTTTCAATTGCAACTGCATTACCGTGCTGTGACTTTTCTGTGATTTATTGAACACCTCAAGGAAGATTATTCAAAGAGGATTATCACATATATAAATACGTCCGTCATTTTAGTTTGCTTATTTGTTAATTAAAATCACATGGTATGAGGCTTGGTGATGTCATTTGAAACGTGCTATTTTATAATAAATTCATTTCGAACTCAACCGTGGTATTAGCGCATTATTGCTGTCCTGAATTGTGTAGCTGTCCCAAAGTTTTTCATCAATTATGTGCATTTGTAAGCCTCGCTGAACTACAAAATACAGTGAATAAAGAATTTAATAATTTATGCAGATTTCCTAATATTATATCAATTCAATGTATTACGCAACACTTTCTCACCATATAAGGCAATTACCATAATATAATTAGCATAGAGGAAAGGAAATCTGAACTGAATCTCTATTCAAATAAAGAACAAAACAACCAGTATTACAAGAATTAAAATTATTTTATTCTCATAAGCATAAGTTTTTTGTAAATCAAGTATGTGTATCTTTAAATTGCACAAATTCTTAATTTAAATGTATCGTAATTATTTCCATTAGTTTGGTAGGTCATGTACATTTAATACCTGAATCATTCTTTAGGTTAAAGAGATAGATGCGGCTAACCTTTCAAAAAACAACAATAACTTCTCTGTGTTTTGCCGAGTGGAAGATCCAATTAAATAATTAATGACAAACATATTTATTCCTAGGAAACAATGACTTAGTGATTTACCTCGGTGTTAATTCTTGTTTATTGGTGCATGTGGGTTTCCAGTTTGTCTATTCGATATTTTGTGGACGAAATCTTAACACATAATTTATATCCATAATTTTGACACACAATTACTGCTGTAATATATTCATAGTCGCGTATATACAATTTGGGAACATGTAGTGACCTAAAAAAACAAATAGAAATGATTTTACCGGAACCTGATGGGAGAAAAATAATAATCCCAGTTTAGAGTTCATTATAAACACAGGCATTCAATTCAAGTGGCCATTTTGAATATCTCAAAACAAATTTGAAGTTAATTTATGAATTTTAAAAAATAGTTTTGTTTTTTTTTTTTTCATACTTTCAAACGAACAGCCACAATTTTAATAGTCAAAACAAGTGTTAGCCACATCTAGTCCTAACTGTACATTGACCACCATTTTGTTGAGGTAACACTCCAAATATAATACAGATTGAATCTACTCTCTGTGATACCATATTTCTCCACACCTCTCCTACATATTAATATATATCAATATATACACTTAATATTACATATGTATTATGCCAAACTAAAAATATTAAAAATTATCAACTAAAATGCCCTCGGAGCAAAACTCCTTTAAAATGAAAACATGCAAATAGATACATCTACACATCAATATTTCTATCACCCGTCTCTGAACATGCATTAATGTTTTCACCACCAATTCCATTTTTCCATCAGAAAGTCACGAAATAGTACATTTATAGGCTGCACTTTCCTTCAGTAGAATGGGACAAAAATAGCCAATTTCTGTGAGTAAAAACTGAAAATTTACTCAAATTTTGTCCGATGGCCACAAAATCATGGTTTATTTCCAGAAATATTGAAGAATATAAGAAAAAAAGTGTAGATAAATTTGGGCGAGAAAGACTGGTGGTGAAGGGGTTAATGGTGCACTCCCAGGAGTTGTGACACATTAAACGTCCACTGCCCAGTTCTGCAATGTATTTGCCAACAAAAATGCATACACTGTCACAAAGTTCAAAATACTACTTGAAACAAAACAAAACATGAATAATGTCATTGTCAGCAAATCTGTTGACAAAGTTTATCTGTATTTCTGTTATCGTTTTTGTGATTCAACATCATCTCGCAAATATACTATATTTAATAACGAAATTTTTTTTCAAATATATACATACTAAGTTAGAGCATCCATTCGGGCACAATGGTGTAGACTATACGTTTATAAGTATAAGCAACATATGGGATGAACCATTATAATCGGGGGAGAGAGGGGGCTAATCACTCAAATGGGAAAAATAATAAATGACAGAATAAGTAGAATTACTTTGGACCATTTCACGTTAAAATTAAAACAATGTGATTTTTGTAGAATGATTTTGAAATGAAATTTCAGTTTTCGGGCAAAAGTTTATTTCAATTCAACTAATAAATATACACTCCAATGTTTGTAACCATGAACATAATATCCGTGTCATAAACTTAACCGTTCACATTTTTAATCTCCCGCCAAAATTTTTGTGAAATATTTTTATGTCTTTTGGATTAGATGGACATAAGTCTTGATTAAAATTTAAAAATTAAAAAAAAAAACAAACAAAGAGAACAAACTTGACTTTGGCATTTTGGTATTTAGACTCAATCGTGTAGAACATTTAAATTTAAACATCTAAACAATGTTATTTGCCTGTATTGTGTATGTTGCATGGGACCCATACAAACCACAACATGAAGTCAGATGTGGGGCACATTACAACATGTGACATATATAGAATAAATATATACGTTGATTTCATCATTTCACAACTTTGTGTTTCATCACTTTTCTTCATACAGTGTATTGAATATTGAAGTGAAAAAAAAATCTGGCAGTGGGTCAAAGTCATTTTATAAAGAGGGGGGTGAGCATGATATGAGAAAGATATTTAGTCTATGCAATTAACGACATTTTCAGTTTTAAAACAATTATTATAGCAACAATAAGCACCATGTAAATTTACACTGCAAGAATGGACGATGTGGGAGTATTACCCATCAGTCACCCTGTAATTGTACCATGATGCCTACCCCTAAAGTAAAATGGAAAATTCCAGTGTAGCAAATAGTCAAATACATCATTATCCACTTGAGCTGTTGTGAATGCTCATAAAATGTAAGCCTCCTCCCCTGTGTTTTTCTGAATGGAATATTTCTTGACAAAGGCTTTACATAGGGAAGCATGTCTTTTTTTCCTTAATAAAATCAGTGTAAATGCACCTCCTCACACAGCACTTGGTGCTCCTAGTTCACAATGGGATCTTCCTGAAACTGAAGTATCTTGAAGTCATTGGTGGGTCGTACCACTGACAGGGGGGGTTGGAAGACTCTGTTAGCAGTAAATATA